AGGTCACAGATTCGCAATTCATTCTTGATCACAGTGCATACCCCGCCCGTTTCGAAAAGAAAACCAAAAAATCCATTCTCTGACAACAGAACCATCTGTACCGCGGGAAAAAAAAAAAAGAAACCTGAAATACAAAACAAATCGAACCATAAGCTAGACTAACAGAGCGGGCCAGGATCGCTTGCCCGGCCGTGCCAAGAAAAAAAAAACTAAAGAAAAAAATCTGAAATATATATATATTTTTACTTGATRCCATACATCGTTCTAGATATGCCGACCACTACCCAAAAACAAAAACCCAAAAAAACAAAGGGAAAATGACAAAAAAAAAGACAGGTCATAAAGATTCACAATTCATTCTTGATCGCAGTACATACCCCACAAGGCAAAAAAAAAGCCGAAAAAAAAAGCGACATCGCATTTGTCGTTCCATTGCACAGCGGGCGCCTGCGTAAAACCTTCTTCTTTCCCCTCTTTCAAGACAAAAACAAACAAGCGGGAAAAAAAAGAATAATTAAAGAAAAATACGAAAAATATGTATTTGCCAAAAAATTGGCGTGTTACCTTCAGCCATAGGTTGTTCCGTTTATTTTTCCGCACAGCATAGTTTTTTTTCCACTTTTTCGGTTTTTTTTTTTTTTTTTTGCGGGAACTACAACCTTCACTCCTCCTTCGCAATTCGTTCTTCATCACAGTACATACCCATTCCATATCGAAAAGAAAACGGAAAAAAAACAAAATGCATGAAAAAAAAAAAACACAATGACATGATGTGCCTGCGAGCGCGGTGACTGCCATCTACGAATGCGACAAGACCTCAAACATCCAAGATTTGCTGCAAACGCGGTTCTACGGAGACCRCGTACAGACAGAGATGTCCTCAACTCGAACTGCACTCCACCACAACAAACCTCTTTCGCGATAACTGCGCAAATTCGGAATGTGGACCTTCATGTGTTATCTGTCTTCGACTATTGCCTGCCATCGAGCATCATGTTTTTCTCGGTTCTTTTCATGYGATTCTGCAAGAACTTCATAAAACACGACAGCGCGTCTATCTGTGTCTATGTGACAGTCGTGTCTATATGCATTGGTTCATGTCTGCCATCGAGGATCTCATGTCTGTTGCCATGTTTTTCTCGGTTCTTTTTGTCAGATTCTACGAGAACTTAAAAAAAAACAACGGTTGCCACTCATGTCTGTCTGCATTTGTTCATGTCTGCATCAAACACCCGTTGCTCTGCGCCGATCTCCTCCCTCTCCTCCCCCCCCTCGCCCCCTTTCAGCGGGTCCACTTGTTATCATAATTATACAAAGAGATGTTTATGTYGCCAGCTGCTCTGCTGCACACACACCCACATAGGACTGAGCTCAACTAGCTGACAGCTATGGCTTCTCTCTCACTCACTTTTGTCTCTGGCTTGTTCACTCCACCTCACTGTATCATGCTGAGGCCGGGCCCTATTTTGGGGCCCGACGGTTGTTCCAGGCCCCCAGGCCGCGGACCCATTTTGGTGAGCGACCTGGAGGCCCACGGCTTTCTCCAGGCCAGGCAGACACTCGGTTCCATGTGTGCTCTCCTTTATTCAGCATTTATTATTTTTGCTGGGTTTTGTCTGGATGGTTTTCGTTTGTTTCAKATGTGTCGGTTCAGACTTTTCCTTTTGCAGAACAGKCAGATTCCTATTCGGACCAGCGGATTTCAGTTTCGGCCATTGTAGGCCAGGTTCAGATTTGTCCGTATCTAGGACTGGACCAGGCATTTGTCTGTTTGCGCCTGGCCCAGTCCTCAGGACCCTGCTGCCTGGACGTCCGGTAGGGACCCAGGCAGGCCGTTTTGGCGCGGATCGTCAGACCAGGACTTGGGCCTGCGATCAGGACCATCGATCGGACATAGATCCGACGGTCCTGATTGCAGACCGAGGACTGCTCAGCCAGGCCCAGCGGTATATAGCTGGGCCAGTTCTGCACTTTGGGGACACATTTGGGCTGGAGCCTCAGTTGGGCGTCACGGTGCTCGCGCAGCGTCAGTTTGGGGGAGAGCTGTGATGGAGCAGCGGTGGAGGAGTAGAGGAGTAGGCTGGAGTGGAGAGGTTTGGCGGAGACTTACCTGGTCATGGGACCAGCCTTCAGCAGCGACCTGCATCGGGAGTCATCACCTTTGCTGGTCAGTATTCGTGCCATTGTCATCAGGAGCGCGCGAGAGAGGAGACTTCTTCTTCTTCTTCTCCTCCTCCTCCTGATTCTTCTCCACTCCTCCATAGCCACTAATCTTCTTCTTCTTCGCCTCCTCCGTCTTCTTCTTCTTCTTCTCCAGGGGGAGAGAGAGAGAGAGAGAGAGAGAGAGAGAGAGAGAGAGAGAGAGAGAGAGAGTCAGGCAGTGACTATTTCGGGCCTATGAGAGCCCATGATCTGATTAAACTTTTTTTTTAGGACAGAAATTGGTTGGACATTCGACAGGGAGGCTATTTCTTGGAYGACTAYGAGTTCCACTCTTGTCCTCGCTCCCCTCTCCATCTTCATCTCGCCTCTCCCCTTCATCATGCGTGGTTTCTTCCCCATGTGTGTTTGCAAGGAGRGACCCTTTTTCTGTGTATGTCCCCGTCCTTGCTGAGGGACATGTGTGATGATGATGGTGTGAGTTGAGTCTGGATCTGATGTGTCAGGTCATATCTTAGAGTCTTCCGCTGCGCTACATTGCCTTATATCGTTTTGTTTTGAGTCCTGTTTGTCACACTGGCGCTGCTTGGACATGTGCACCGCTCATCTTCAGATGTGCATGCATCACTCACTCTGTCTTTACCCTAGATCATAACCCTGGGTACGCCCACTCAGGTAAGCTTCACACTTGGCGGCTATGGTCGCCGTACTCCCTATCTCCCTCTACCCTCACTATGGAGTAACTCTCAAGCGCCTCTTCTTCCTCCTGGCGCGAAGTGCCCAAGTTGTCTTAATGCACAAGCAGCAGCAGTGGTTCCTCATCTTGCAGTGATCACCTCTGCGCTGTAGCAGCTAGATATAGGACTTGACTTGGCTTGGCCTGCTTCAGACCGGTACCGGTCGGCTGCGGCCTGTATGCTAAACATTTTGTTGGTCCGGTAGCTTCCGGACTTTCCTGGGACATGCTGCAAAATTGGACTTGGGACTGTACTGGACTGGACTGGAGGGTACTGGGCTGAATTTTACCGACCTGTGACGTTTCGGTACCGACACCTATCAACCTACGACGCGTCAACCTATGGACCCTACGGCCTATCCTACCGGGACAGCCTGGGACTGGGATACTTCGGGACCCTGGGACCGGGACTGGGTTTTCTGCACCGTGAATTCTTTCAGGTGGGGCAAGGGCCCTGGATAGGATTACGACCAGGGTCTGATCATTTAATTTAAAAGCTTTTGAAAAGCGTCTAAAAGGTTTTCTAAATTTGTAAAAGCTTAAGTTAATAGCCCAATGTACTTTTTCAGTTGCTGTTTGTTTCTGTTCCCCACACCCTTGGTTCGAGTCTTTGGGCCTCTGCTGGGGGCTATAGAACATTGGAAATGTATCTGAAAGTGGTAATGGTGCCAATGCATTCGGTCAATCCGCATGTATTGGGCCCATGATACAGTCCAGAGACGTGTAGAATGTTGTGTCCTGGATTGAATCTCGGATGGGAGATATGTGAATGTGTCTTGTTGTCTCTGGAAAGGTACAGTCTGTCAACTGAGTGGCCAAGTTGTGAACAGATTGCAGGGGGTAATAGAACACAAGTATACCGGGCACAGTTTGCTACCATCTTCGACCGAAGAGGATGGACGGTCATTATCACCGTATCTAGACTAGAAGTTGCCCCAGACACAGAAATTATGACTGTGGGTTCTGTATGGGGGGACGATGCTACCAATATCCGTGCACAAGTTGCATTGAAGAGGTTGTGCGTTCCACTCCCGTTGGTCTCGCGTATGGGCTGGGCCGTGCGTGGTGCCCTACCATCTAGAGATAGCYCGTTGTCCCCTGAGTCCAGCATAAGCAGGCCTTAGTCAATATTGTTAAAATGCAGAAAGGAAGTGATGATGTAGTCAGTCAGGAAAAAAGAAAGAAAAAAAAGGGAAAGGAAAAGAAAGCTAGTTACATACCAACGGGCCTAGCTCAGTTACCCATGAGCTGTTGAAATACAGACCTGAGTTCGAATCCAAATGGACCTAGATGACTCAAAAGAACTCTTGAATTAACTGGGGCCAGTCAGTTCCACAATGATATCTCAAGGCTGTGCTGTCTCCCTTTTAAAACAAAGAAAATAAAAAAAATAAAAAAGTAACGAAAGCTAATTACAGTTTGACAGCTAGCCATGTAATTAACTATACCTTTCTATTGGTTGTCTCTGCGATTCTGGCAGATCGGTCCAAGTACAATGTGTGAATGCGTCCAAAGGGAAATCAGAGAGAAACTGGACTGACTCGCAGTTTGGAGGAGCTCATCTACACCCTTCTCCTCCAACCGGTCTCGTTTGACCGATACAGATGCAGAGTCTATGGCCAGGGGAGAGGGGAGGCTCCCGTCTTTCAAACTTCCTGTGCTTCATGACCAGGAATGTTGAGAGGGAGCTTATGGAGGAAGTCGAACGGAAGGCGACTGCGCTGAAAATAAAGGAGGTGGAGAATAACTCTCTGAAAGTGAGGCTAGTCAAGGAGGTGACCACGAGGATGGAGTTGGAGAAAACTGCGAAAGATCTCGCAAGCTCGCTTGAAGGGTTGATGACAGCGCTGGGCGAAAAGGAAGGGTTCAATGGTGGTGGGGAGGGCATCAGAAAGCCAAAGCTAGAGAAGTTGGGAATCAAGAAGGGCCGCAACGTGCCGCAGGTTAAAGATCGTTCTGGAGGCCGCACAATTATAACGGCGGAGAAATCCCTCGGACCAGAGGTACAACGCAGCATGGAGATTAAGCACTTGAGAGACAAGTTGGACAAGGAGATGGAGGAGAAGAACAGACTGATGAAAAGGGTGGATGAATTGGGAGAATTCCTGAGAACCTGCCATGCAGACTTTATGAGCACGAGGTCCGCTTACAAAACGGAGAGAAAGCTCCGGATTGCATTACAGGTGGAGATCGAGGGTCTCCGCGAGCAACTGCAGCAACTCCAGCTGGAGCGACAGGAGCTGGCTACACATGAAGGAGGAGTATGTTTTGGGGATGCTGGCCACGAATCCGAGGAGCAAGGCGGAGACATAGAGGCAGGCCTATCACACGAAACCCCTGAGCCATCCCAGGCCCCCCTTCGAGATTCTCACCAAGGGGGGGAGCAGCGACACAGTATTGATCATGCCATTCCTGGTACTTGGCAGGGATGTGTGGAAGAGCTCACAGAATCTGGAGCACCACGTTGTATGACCCGAGATGAGTCCTCTGCGAGGACAGCCGAGATGGGCGGAACTTGTGGTGCATCTGTGCTTCTGCAGTCGGTCAGCGATGAGGAGGGAAGTACCCTAGGAAGCTGGAACCCAGGAGAGCCGATGGGGATGGTGGAGCAACCGGGAGCAGAACGTGCCGGGAACGGCGATAGGAATGGGTCTGAAAAGGCTATGGGTTCTGAGGGGCCGTCTGTGTCTCTGGTAGAGGAAGCAGTTCTTCTGAAGAGGCTACTTACCACTGATGGCAATTGTGATCTGGGCTCGGAATGCGATCAATCAGGAGGACCAAGGACTGGCGAGGCTGGGGAGGAGGCTAGATTGGGAGTGGTAGGGGATGATACCAGGAGGGATGGGAAGCGAGGAGGAGGATCTACTATTGCCGAGGCCGGGGAGGAGGCAGAAATGCAAATGACCGTGCCAGAGGCAACTATGGGCCTGCTGGAGAAGGAGGTGGCCTCTAAGGAAGGGAGGGAGCTTTGCTACTGCGACTGTCGCATGATCGATATGATGGAGGCAGAAGGAGAAAGTCTTGGCACTCCTGATGAGGAGTCAGAGGGGAAAGGGACCAGGTTTGTCAAAAACCGGGAACTGCCTCAGGCTGTTTTGAAGCAAATGACAGCCACTATTGAAGGCGAGAGGGAGTCTGTCGTTGCTACGATGAAGCGTTTGGAGCCAGAAGTAGAAAGTTTTGTCGCAACTGACGAGGAGTCGGAAGAGAGAGGGACTGGGCTTGTGAGAACCCGTGGACTGCCTCAGGCTGTTTTGCATGGAATGACAGTCACTCTTCGCGGAGAGAGGGAGGCCGTCGAACGATTAGAAAGTGGGAACTCGGACCAGGTAACAATTGTGTCGAGGGAAGCCCCTGAGTTCTTGCCGCCTGTGCCACAGAGAGAGATGGAGCCTGTACAAATAGGGAAAGAAGAACCTGGCCACCCAGAGAGCAAACACTCAGCTACAGACAATGCAAGGTCCAATACTCCACGGGAGGAGGTGACGGCCCCTGTGGGAGATGGGAAGGAGAGGCATGGACGCTCTTCTGCAGCGGCATGTGGAGATCCGGTGGAGAAGATGCAGATAAGCTCATTCCGAACTCGCGGGCCGTTCGTGCCCCTTCGTTCCAGTGCGAAAGCAGTGTTAGATGTCCTTCAATCCACTGCCCGGAGGTTGCAGCGGAGACAACCTGGGCTTCCACCGTTGCCGGGGCAGTGTCAGCARGCTCTTCAAGGTGTGCAATGCATCCCCGAGGATCTTTCTGATAAAGTGTCTGGTGATCTCCTATATCGACCAGACGTCAGCTCTTCAGATCAGGTCAGACCAGGCCTGATGAACAAACTGCAAGGGGTGTCAATGCTGCCGCCAATAGGCGACATTGTGGCACAACGGGACGTAGTCGAAGACACGGATATAGCCGAAGAAAAGGATGGAGTCGAAGAAAAGGACGCAGTGGCAAAGGACAGTTCGGAAGGCATCAGTACTGCTCCTAGGTGGCAGACGAGCACTAGAGGAATGAACAACTCATTCCTCTCGAGAGGGGTGTTTAAGGCTGTGACGAGGGAATTGGCAACCGCTGGAGGAGTCTCCAACACCACCAATGTGGGGGACGAAGGAGTGTCGGCGCTCCATCAGGTGAACGCTTCAATGTCCGAGGAGGGGAAGGTCAAGGGTTCCCATTTCACAGTGCACCAGGTGTTTTTATCGCCCTCAGAGAAACCTGTCTCCTCCTCCGAAGCAGGAGAGGATGGTGGTGATTGTGAGGTGTCAGGGTCAGTTTCCGCGGTCCTTCCTCGATTGGAAGGGGACAGTGTTGCCAGCGCAGCTGGCGGGAATGAAGAGGGCAAAGAGATCGATGAACAGAAGGCGAGCAGGCAATCTGCTGAATTGGGAGAGCCGGATGGTTGTGATGCTGGAGGAAAAGTGTGGTGCAGATCTGACACCCCTGATTCCTATTCTCCTGAACTGGAAACTGCCTCAGGAGGGTCTCTGCCGCCAGCGCGATCAGCAGCCATCGGTGCGGTTCGGCTTGAAAGGGTGGACTCTATGGTGGTTGGTCTCAGAAGCAAGCTTGGTATGGAGATTGGTACTAGAATAAAGCTGGAGAGGCAAGTGAATGAGCTCAAGAGCAAGGTCTTGGAGTTGCAGATCTCTAATTCTCAAGTGCCTGATAGCCCAACATTGTTGGCTGAGAACACTCCTACCCCTTCAGGAATCTCAGACTGGGCAGACTCCTACCCCATTCGCCATGCGGAAGCGGATCTTCTCACTTCCAGCCGGGACGAAAATGACATCAGGGATCAACAAATTAGGGAGCTGAAGGCGATGATTTCTCAACTGACTGACAAGGTCTCCAATCTGACAGAAGAACTCGACTCGGCGAGAGCGACGATCGATGACATCACGCTGAGTCGTGACCTTAGCCTCATGAAGGTCGCCAGCCTCCGGGGCAAGCTGGGAGCAGCGGTGCGCACGCAGGTCAAGTTGGGAACAATGTTTGAATCAGAGGCGTGGTGAGTTGCAAGCAAACAATTTTTGAATCGGATTGGACTGGGATTGAGATTCTACAAAGAATTCAAGTCAGCGATCGACATTCTGCAGCAAAGAACTAGAAAAAAGTCAGCAAACAACCTACATATGAATGGGTTAAGGCCCTTGAGGGCTTTCTGCAAGAACACAAATATGTGCGAGAATGTCCAGGATTTTTCGTTTCGTTTTTTTCTGTTTTCCTGTTCAAAATCCTGATGGGATAAATTTGAAGTGTTCCCGACCTGCAGGTGGGCGATACCGGCCAGGGGTCAGCTGGTAGCATCAGGACTGCGCTTCTTCGACGGGCCAGTTGCTGTGCCTCCCCTCCAGTCTCCTCCCCTACAAACATCAGCAGTCTCTGATTCACTGCTTCTCGTTGGAGGCGAACTCGGTCTGGCTGCTATGGGGTTCCCCGCGATACTATAATGAATATTAATGATAATAAGAAAGGCCTCAAAGGCCTCCCTGTCAGATTCGACAGGTGATTGACTTGGTAGCGTTTAAACGAATTAGCCTTTTTTTTTCAAAAAAGAAGAAGAAGTGTTGCCTCCGTGTTGGACGGTGTCGTTCCCTGCGAACACCACACGATAGATAGATGGCAAGGAGGTTCCACATTTGTACATAGAAGCATTGACTAGCTGCTCGCCCACCATCTTCTAAACGGGAATTAAGCTAGAGAGAGAGAGAGAGAGAGAGAGAGAGAGAGAGAGAGAGAGAGAGAGAGAGAGAGAGAGAGAGAGAGTAAATAACCTAGGGAGAGTTTAAAGCATGAGCAGCACACCCGCCGACACTTGATCTTTGAAATTGACATCTTGTCATGTTCTGGATTGATTTTTTTTGTGTAAACTTGTAAAGAGTATCATAATCACTTGGTAGCAGTTGAAACCGGATAGAACTTCCATTTTTAAGGAAGCCGATTGCTCTGAGCAGTGTGGATCTTAATCTTAGTTGATAGAACTGGATGTGGAGAGCAGCAGTTGATGGAACTTCATCACAGCCACACAGCTTTAAGCTGTGGAGAGAAGTGCATGGAGAGTAGTTGATGCACAACTTCATCATCACAGCCATATATACTTTTGACTGTTCGAGAAGAGTAAATTGCAGTTGATGGAACTTGACGGAACTTGAGAATGGGATCATTGTGAGCAAGTTTAGACCAGTTGATGGATGGAGCTTATAGTGTGTGAGCAGTGGAGAGCAGCTTATGATCAAGCTCAAGAGTAGTTCAAGAAAATGATGAGAATGTTGAGTACCATTTTTTTTTGCCATTTGGTCCACTGCTGAATTGTAAAGTTATTTGTGGTTTATTTCGTGCAATTTTTCATCGCATCGGTACTCCATGATTAACAGAGGTGCTACCATGGGTTTTCAACTTTTCATTCACTTTTTTTACCGTTTTTATTGTGTTTATTGATTTGATACACATAGTAAATACTAAATACCTTCCTTACAATAGAGCAGATCACTGAAGTCAAGGACAAAAATTCAGTGAAGATCCCAGCAACAGTAAAAACAAATAAATCACTTGCCAGTTTTGCCACCATATCCTTGGCAAAGTTTTGTGGGTTAGTCCATGTTGGGCTATCAGCCTCTATCCCGGCAGTGGTAAGAGAACCACCAGAATTCAGGCTTTGGCTGTGGGGCTGCTCCATCTACTGGTGGGGAGCGGCACCTGCTGGAAACCGGGTCCTGTGTCCCTTTAATACAACAATGCAGATCAAAAAAGTTTGATGCTATAGTCATTGTTCTAATCTATTCTGGAGCACCTAGTAACCCTTGGAGCTGCTATTAGCCTCTTCTTCAGAGCGAGGGAGGGTCCTATTCCTTCATGTCACTTCCTAGCACTTGTAAATTTCTGTTAAACAACCACTAGTACCTCCGACCCTGTTTTTTTTTGCCGACCCTGAATTTCATGGCGCACCAAGTTTGCCGAGCCTGGGTCCCATTGTATTTTCTTTTCTGGTACTCGTCGAAAATGAAACGAAGTTTAACAAATAAACGAAAAAAAGAAACGAAAGAAAAGGAAAAAAGCGACTATGCCAGGGACGTGAAAGCAGGTGGATGCAGAACATTGGGCACATGTGAGAGTATGCTCTCCCAAGGGGGGTTACATGCCTCAGCCAAACAGGGCAGTAGGAAATGAAAAAAAAAAAGGGAAAACAACAACAACAACCACTCTTTGGACTTGTAAGCAGCTGGATACAGAATATTGGGTACATGTGAGAATCTGCCCTCCCAATGGGTTTTAAAAGCCCTCAGCAAAACACGGCAGTAGGGAAAAGAAAAAGAAAGAAAGGGAAAAAAAGCACCAACTCTTTGGATGTGAAAGCAGTCGGATACAGAACATTGGGTACATGTGAGAATCTGCCAACTCTTTGGACGTGAAAGCAGCTGGATACAGAACACTGAGTACATGTGAGAATCTGCCCTCCCAATGGGCGTTACAGCCCTCAGCAAAATACGGCAGTAGGGGAAAAAAAAAGAAAAAACAGCAACAACTCTTTGGACATAAAAGCTGCTGGATACAGAATCTTGAGTACATGTGAGAGTGCCCCCTGGGTTGCAAGTGTCAGCTTTCCGTGGAAAGCGCACTGCCTCGTTGGCAGGGCACTAAAACTTAATTAGAAGAAAAAAATAAAAAACACGAAAAACACAAAAAACGAAAAACGAAAAACGAAACTAGCAATGATTCTGGGCAGATGCATTCCTGGAAGCACTTTTGTGAGCACACCTCCTCAATGGCTTTTCCGGAGGTCCTTCCTTTCAACTCTGCAGTTTTTTTGTTTTTTGTTTTTTTCTTTTCTTTTTGTTTTTCCGAATGGCCCCACAAGCCCCAAACATATTCTTTTTTCCAACCCTCGCCCGGACCCCCAAACTTTTCGGGTGAGGTCATTTTCCTAACTGGGACAACTGGGACTACAGCTGTGAAAGGTAGTGGTGGTTTAATGTAATCAGTACCCATTTTTCTTCCTAGTAATTGAAAATCACTGTGACAGTAGTCAGTAACCATACAGTTGGATGCATATTTTCTTTGCTGAAATCCCTGGAACTGATTCCCAAATGTTTCCGATTCTCCTTCGGCCTTCAGCACCCTATCCTTCTCAACCCTCCCCTTCTTGTCATTCCTTTTTGGACCCTTGTGCGCCTACCCCTGTCTCCCCCCC